AGATCAGACAGCTGATCCAGACGCTGCTGCCTGCGTCCTCACTAGAACTATAGAAAGTAGATCAGACAGCTGATACAGACGTTGCTGCCTGCGTCCTCACTAGAGCTATAGAAAATAGATCAGACAGCTGATCCAGATACTGCTGCCTGCGTCCTCACTAGAGCTATAGAAAATAGATCAGACAGCTGATCCAGACGCTGTTGCCTGCGTCCTCACTAGAGCTATAGAAAGTAGATCAGACAGCTGATCCAGACGTTGCTGCCTGCGTCCTCACTAGAGCTATAGAAAATAGATCAGACAGCTGATCCAGACGCTGCTGCCTGCGTCCTCACTAGAACTATAGAAAGTAGATCAGACAGCTGATCCAGACGCTGCTGCCTGCGTCCTCACTAGAGCTATAGAAAATAGATCAGACAGCTGATCCAGATGCTGCGTCTTCACTGCAGCATCTGGATCAGCTGAAGGAGCAATCAGCTAAGTGAGCTTAGTGCTTGGAAAAAATCTTTCATTCCTTTAGAGACAGCATGAAAAGTCAGCTGAGTACAAAACATAGAGAGGAAAACAAGAAGAAAAGGGACAAGAAGAGAGGAACAAAACCTAGAACAGATAAGAGTTTTTTTTATTTAATGGGAGCTCCAGTATAGTTCAGCATTAACCAGGGTTTCATTTGTTCTCTTTCAACATTCAAACGGCTCCTTAGAGGCTGAAAAAGCAACGATGAAAACATGTTTCTACAGTTTGATTCTTGATTAAATGTTTTTTATTGATGATGAAAAACAGTAAAACAGCAAACGCTCTGGTTTGGATATGACTGACATCAGTTGGGAAACAAAGTTGACAGCCTGCTGCAGCTTTTATATCTACGTCAATCAATCATTAAGGAATTAAAGATTTTTACGGAATAACTGATAACCTGTAAGAGAAACAAACACGAAGCAACCAGAACACTTTGCTTTGGTTCAGCGGCTCCTTTTCTCACCTTTCCTTCTTTTTTTCTTTAGTTTAGAAGCCGCCAGTCTCTCACCTGCACTGGAGAAACAATCTAGAAATAAGTACAAATTTCTTAAATGATTATCCCTTATTTGAGCAGGTAAATGAGATAGTTTGCCAATGGAATGAGTATTTTTACTCTTAAATAAGGTAATTAGATAATATACACTTGAAACAAGACAATGCAATGTTTTGTTATTTTAAATGTAAATGATCTTGTTCAATAGGCAAAGTGTCTCTTTTACTTCCTTAATCCAAGAACAAATGCACTTATTTTAAGAAAAAAAATGACTTATCTAGATTTAGCTTCTTTTTCTCCAGTGTTAAACTGGTTTCCAGTTGTTTAATGGTGCTGGAGCTTCCTGGTAACCTGAGGCTGAGCAGAGCGGCAGCCAATCAAACGCTTCCATCACTGATCAACCGCTTCAGCTGGTTTCTAATTATCCTTTATAATTATGACTGATATTTAGAGGAAAAAGAACCTAATAATCACTTTAGGGATGAAACTAATGATTACCTTTCCCAATCGAATAATCTGTAGATTATTTTTTCGATGAATAATCTGAAAGCCAAAGGTTCGTTAAAGAAGACTTTTTGTAAAATCAAACCAGATGAAAGTAAAACTTTTCCACTTGAGGAGTTCTGGATTATAGAGCAGATTGAAAGATGATTATTATTTTTTTTTTATCTTAAATACAAAATGTTTATATATTTTTTTAACAATCTTGGTATAATTCCTGCTTTAAGTGAGTCGTTAAAGGCAGGTTTTACAGTCTCTATACTCCAGTTAATGATTCATCGATTACTGAGTTAATTAATGATTATTTCACACTGCAAAAACAATCTGCAACCAAGTAATTTGATTAGGTAAATGAGACAGTTTGCCAATGGGATGAGTATTTTTAATCTCAAAATAAGATAGTTAGATAATATGCACTTGAAATAAGACTATGCAATTGCGTTTTCTTATTTTAAATGTAAATTTTCTCGTTCCATTGGCAAAATGTGTCTTTTACCTCCTTAATCCAAGATGAAATACACTTATTTTAAGAAAAAAATACTTACCTAGATTTCAATTTTTTCCAGTGCAATAATTGATTAATCCAACTGTTTCAGGTGTAAATCATTGAATTGATACGACTAAGCGAATAAACGATCAGCCCTGCTTTGACCCAGTCTCATGTTCCCCAGCAGAGCTTCTCTTCAAACGTCCAGTAAAACATTTAACATTAAACTTTATTCTTTTCCTTCCTCAGATTCAGGATAAAGTGTTTTCTCGATTTTCCTCCAGCAGCTGTTAACATCTGGATAATCCGTGTCACCTCTGAATTTCTAATCGCCAGGAGAGGCGTGACACGCTGACATCATAAATGAGAAAGTAAAGGCAAGTACAGGCAAGTAAAAGGCAGCGTCTTCTTCTGTGTCAGAAGAAAATATTGAACATTTCATAATGAATAAATACTCCAAAGGGACAGACGGGATTTCATCTTATAGACTACAGCTCTCACTGAGCGGCTCAAAAAGAAGAACACTGGTTCTTTAAGAGTCAACACGTGCAGGTAAGATACTGACTACTCATAACTTCTACAAAGAAAAAACTAATCTAAGCATTCGTTCAGGTCAGAGGATGGATGAGGTGTGACTGAAGGACAAACATGAAAACATCAGAACCTTTTTCCATAAAATATAAGCATTACAATCCAATAATAAAATAATGATAAGGCATAGGATTGAAATAATTATGAAAATAACTGATTTATCCAGATCTGGGATTTTAGAAGTGATCATTATAGAAAGAGCTCTCTGACTCTCTTTAAGGTCACATATCAGCTGCTAAACTAGTTTTCCTCTTAGTTCAAACTCAGCAGCTCAACATGAATCAAATCGTCCATAAAGTTCCTTCATTTTGATAAAATACAGAATTCCTCTTTGCAGACAGGAACTCCAAGCAGCCCGTCATTCTGATACCTGTCCTCCGGAGGGCGATAAAGAGCCGCAGGCAGACTGAGGTCCGCTTCTCCTCCGTGTCTGTGTTCTAAAGGCAGAGCCCCCGACGCCGAGCCTCTCATCAGCTGCACACTTTGTACCGTCACTTGTCCCTGGTCGGCAGTCGGAGCCTGTTGCCGTGGCTACGTGCGTCACAGCGTTATGACGTTGCCGTCCTCCCTCATGCTCTCCTGGCTGCTGCGGACAGAGTGGGCAGAGCCGCCGTTGTGGTGGGATGCGGCGGAGGCTGAGAGGCTGTGCGGCAGCGACGTGCTCTGAGGGATGGACCCTCTGAGCGGCGAGGGGGCGTGGCTTTTATAGGACGGCAGGCAGTCGCTCTCCAGGATGACGTCAGCGTCGTCATCCTCCTCGTAGCTGTCGCCCTCGGCGATGCTGCTGCTGTGGGGAACGACACAGACGTGGCGAAAGGATTAGAAAAAGAGTAACAGACATGGAGGAACGTTGTGTTGCTTCCCAGAAGCGGCGCCGCCCTCTGAGGCCGAGACGCTCACATTTAAAGCCTTAAATGGCCAAGCTCCATCTGATATCAGAGATCTGATTGTTCCTTATGTTCCTAACAGAGCACTTTGCTCTCAATCTGCAGGTTTACTAGTGGTTCCTAGAATTTCTAAAAGTAGAATGGGAGGCAGATCTTTTAGTTATCAGGCTCCTCTCCTGTGGAACCAACTACCAGTTTTAGTCCGTGAGGCAGACACCCTGTCTACTTTTAAGGCTAGGCTTAAAACTTTCCTTTTTGATCAAGCTTATAGTTAGAGTGGCTCAGGTTATCCTGAGCTATCTCTATAGTTATGCTGCTATAGGCTTAGACTGCTGGAGGACATAGGGACCCCTTTTTCATCATTCTGCTTCATTCTATCTCTACAGAATCTAATGTAATCTAAACAAGAAGCCAATGAAGAGAAGCCAGGATAGGAGAAATATAATCTCTCTTTTTAATTTTCATCAGAACTCTGGCTGCAGCATTTTGGATCAGCTGAAGGCTTTTAACTACAGTTTGTGGACTTCCTGATAGTAAAGAATTACAATAGTCCAGCCTTGAAGTAACAGATGCATGGACTAGTTTCTCAGCATCACCCCTGGACAGGAGATTTCTAATTTTTGCAATATTCCTCAGATGAAAGAAGGAAAATCTAGAAACCTCTTTGATATGGGGTTTAAATGACAGGTCCTGATCAAAAATAACACCAAGATATTTACTTTATTATCTGAAATCAGTTTAATCCCATCCAAATGAGGTGACTGGCTAATCAGCTTATTTTTCAAAGACTCTGGTCCAAAGACTATAACTTCTGTTTTGTCTGAATTCAGAAGTTTTTTATGTCTTCAGACATGCCTGTAGTCTATGTAATGGGTTAGCTTCATCTGGATTATAGACAGATTAAGTTGGATATCAATACTCAACTATACTCAGTACAAAATACCATCCATGTTAACTTCCGTAAACACGCTGGCTACTTGTGACGTCATGGCGTCATGTGCTGCGCAGGCGGGACACTTAAAATGCATCAATGCGGCTCACACTGGAGATCACATACAAGTCGCATTTATTTGAAAATGTGAACGATCACGCAGAAGAATCTGAATCAAGCATTAAGGCCTGCAGAGTGAAGGTAGCCCTGGTTTCTGTTTCCTGTTAACGTTTGAAGGGAACAGAAAGCATCAACTGTATTTCTGGATTCCAGCAGGTTAAACCTGCTTTATTTAGACTGATCATTTAAAAATGACTCATTTCAGCTCCTTCAGGTGTGGAAAATGTTAGATTACTGAGGAAACCCACACACCTTCAGTACAGGGATTTATAGAAAGGAAAATTATCATTGTTTTGTGATTAGAAGATTAAATGATATCAAGAAAAATGTCCTAGATCCACAGCTGATAGAACATGATGGCGGTTTGGGGCTGTCAGAGCCACCCTGTGCTCGGGTCCTACCTTGCAGTGATGGGATTGCTCTGAGAGGCGGGGCTTGGGGAGTCATGTGACAGAGCAGAGCCAATGGAGCCGCCGGAGCCCACAGAACCAGAGTGACCCATGGAGTTTTTACTCCCTCGAGGAGCGATGTTGTTCCTCTGGTTGACTGGTTTCACCGTCACTATCAGGTTGTGGCTGTTGGCCACCATCATGGCCGTCACCTGAAAACACAGAAAGGTTGTTTTTCATCTAATCCGGTCAGATTAACCCAGGATTCTTTCCTCCTAATCAGCAGGGCTGAAGACTGACTCTACAGCAATCCCTCACAGCATGCAGCAAGAGTAACGGACCTCCAGCAGAACCAGAACCGCTGACATGGAGGACAACTGATGCCGCACTGGGCTCAGTGGTTGCCGTTTTATCTCCATCAGGAGGAACGGCTGCTCTGTTATCAGGAATTATTGAGATTCAATATTTAATCTAATCATAAGTCATTAAATAAATTCTTTTTTCCGCTGCATTTCTTTTTATTTTGGTTCTGATCTCTGATCCAACCAGTTGTCAGTGACTGCAGGCAGTGAGCGCATCCACCAGAGGGCAGTATGAGCCACGCTTAGCACAGACACCACACTGCAAAAAAACTATCTAGAAATAAGACAGAATTTCTTTAATTAACCCCTTAAGCCCTGAGAGCCTTAGGAGCAAATTCTGCCTGAAACTACATCTGTGAATTAAATCCAGTTCAGCTCCCAAACTATAAATTGGAAATATAATTGTTTGTATTTGTGTGACAGAAAGGCTTAAGGAATATTGTTCAGATGGAATCACTATTTTAAATGTCACCATGTCTGATTTATAGGTGATTAAACAAAGAAAAAATGACAAATATTTTGCCAAACTACAAATTTTCACCAAAACAAACTCTGCAAAAGACCATAAAGCCCATTAGAAACCCTGGAAGAACCCTCAGACTTTATAGATCCACATCTTCACTATAATCAAGCTAATCTGGACTGAATAATTTGAAACATGTTTGTTCCACAAAGGTTTTAGTGAGCAGTGTGCTAGGAGGAAATATTTGCACAGTGCATTTATTCTTGGATTGCGGAGGTAAAAGACACTTTGCCAATGGAACAAGAAAATTAACATTTAAAATAAGAAAACAAAATTGCATTTTCTGATTTCTAGTGTATATTATCTAATTATCTTATTTTAAGAGTAAAAACACTCATTCTATTGGCAAACTATCTCATTTACCTGCATAAATTAAGGGGAAATACACTTAATTTAAAAAATGTTTTCAAGAAATTTTAATTTCACTCAGTGAAATACTTTGAAAATTTGCCAAGTCAATAGTTTTATTGGAATCCAGGAAAATACCTTATTACCTTTTTAACATTCTAGAAATATGGATATTCTGATGGCAAAAATGTATGTCAATGTAACAAAAAGAAACGCTAACTTGCCCGAATAAATTAAGAAAAATATCTAAAGTGCTTCTAGAAGAAATTCATGAAAAACCCTGAGAGTGAAAGAACTTTTTTTTTTTTACACCAGCATAACCTTAGAGGCATTAATACTGGCACTGACATTTTTTAGTTTAGTTTATAAATAGAATTGTTAACTAGGCTTATTAACTTTTTGAACTTTTATATTAGCTTTTTATCTTTTTTTCTTGACTTGTTAACATTTTTTCCCCAGCTTAATTACCAGTAGGTAATATATCCTTCAGGGGCTCATCTAATTGGTCAAATGGTAGAATAAGATGTACAGCCATGTAGCAGGATCTATGCTGAATGGCTGGATATAGATCTAGTGCTTCTGGACCGGTTGGGGGGGGACTCCATTTGTAAGGGGATGATAGGGATCAAAAATGCTAAACCTGATTTCAGTGATAATCTATAATAATAAAGGAAAGGTTTGTGTTAAAAAAGTTCTCAGAACTACAGCAGAAGTAGAAGCTGTGGAGGCTGGAATCAAATGAAATAAAAGATCCGGAGCAGGAACTGGATCATCCTTAGGAACCTTTAACTCTCCTTTCACAGGATCGTCTGGCTCCTCCTTTATGCCACTGAAAAAAGGTATCTGAAGGTTCTAGACAAGAAATTTAGGGAGGGGATTCCTGTGGACTGGTTCCTCTACATCACATCCATCCAGTATCAGTGAGGATTTAAGCTGTTCAGAAACCAGGTTTCCTCCATGAACAAAGTAGGAGCTCATTATTAAAGCAGTTGGTTGTTCAACAGATCCTTCTACCATTTGCTGTTCCTGAATCCTTTCATTCTGATTCTTTTAACAACTAAACCATTCAGCCATCAAATAATCCTGCCTTTTCCTCCTGAATGCTTTAAAGGAAAAGTCCGCTCATATTCAGAATTCAAACTTCTGAAAATACTTTAAATATGAAATTATTTCATCCTGTTCAATAAATGATCAGTGTTTTTAATTCAGAGTAATTTTCATGTGAATGTGCTTTACTGGAGGCATCCATGTTTGTCAAAGAACACTACTGCCACCTACTGGTTTGTGACGTCACGGTGCGGTATCGGCTGTTGATCAAGTCCCAGTGCTGTATCTGGTGTTTGTCACAACGCGCTATTATCCAAGTCATCTTGAAAACATTCTTCTTCCAAATGTTGGCTACATACACTATATTGCCAAAAGTATTTGCTCACCTGCCTTGACTCACATATGAGCTTAAGTGACATCCCGTTCCTAATCCATAGGGTTCAATATGACGTCGGTCCACCCTTTGCAGCTAGAACAGCTTCAACTCTTCTGGGAAGGCTGTCCACAAGGTTTAGGAGTGTGTTTATGGGAATTTTTGACCATTCTTCCAGAAGCGCATTTGTGAGGTCGCACACTGATGTTGGACGAGAAGGCCTGGCTCTCAGTCTCCGCTCTAATTCATCCCAAAGGTGTTCTATCGGGTTGAGGTCAGGACTCTGTGCAGGCCAGTCAAGTTCATCCACACCAGACACTGTCATCCATGTCTTTATGGACCTTGCTTTGTGCACTGGTGCACAGTCATGTTGGAAGAGGAAGGGGCCAGCTCCAAACTGTTCCCACAAAGTTGGGAGCATGGAATTGTCCAAAATGTCTTGGTATGCTGAAGCATTCAGAGTTCCTTTCACTGGAACTAAGGGGCCAAGCCCAGCTCCTGAAAAACAACCTCACACCATAATCCCCCCTCCACCAAACTTTACACTTGGCACAATGCAGTCAGACAAGTACCGTTCTCCTGGCAACCGCCAAACCCAGACCCGTCCATCAGATTGCCAGATGGAGAAGCGCGATTCGTCACTCCAGAGAACGCGTCTCCACTGCTCTAGAGTCCAGTGGCGGCGTGCTTTACACCACCGCATCCGACGCTTTGCATTGCACTTGGTGATGTATGGCTTGGATGCAGCTGCTCGACCATGGAAACCCATTCCATGAAGCTCTCTGCGCACTGTTCTTGAGCTAATCTGAAGGCCACATGAAGTTTGGAGGTCTGTAGTGATTGACTCTGCAGAAAGTTGGCGACCTCTTCGCACTATGCGCGTCAGCATCCGCTGACCCCGCTCCGTCAGTTTACGTGGCCTACCACTTCGTGGCTGAGTTGCTGTCGTTCCCAAACACTTCCATTTTCTTATAATACAGCTGACAGTTGACTGTGGAATATTTAGGAGCGAGGAAATTTCACGACTGGATTTGTTGCACAGGTGGCATCCTATCACAGTTCCACGCTGGAATTCACTGAGCTCCTGAGAGCGACCCATTCTTTCACAAATGTTTGTAAAAACAGTCTGCATGCCTAGGTGCTTGAATTTATACACCTGTGGCCATGGAAGTGATTGGAACACCTGATTCCAATAATTTGGATGGGTGAGCAAATACTTTTGGCAATATAGTGTATTACGTGTTTTTTCTCTGGCCAGAAGTTAGATGGCAAATCTTCCCTCTTCAAGTTGGCAATCCAACGACCAACCCGTCCGTGGAGGATCAGGAATCAGAAAGGTTGAATAACTCTTTTTTTTCAGTTTTACCCGATGTATTCCAACATCCAGCTGCCATGCACGTGGGCATTGTCAGTTTCACTATAGCTGTGGTGAATTTCAATGGTGAAGTCCTCTGGAAATCTTCAATAATTGTTGTTGATTGCAGATGTGTCTAGTAGTTCCCATTGATTCTGCTTGTAAAGCGAGGAGAATGGCGCTAGGCTTACCGCACCGTGACGTCACAAAAATGGCCGCTCCCAGACTTATTGAGCGCAACAAAATGATTATTTTTTACGCATTAGTTTTAGGTATAGATAATCATCTATTGATTAGTGCTGACAGGAACTCTGCATGATGATTTATGTTGAACTAAACAGTTTGTTTAATTAAAGAATAAAATACCTAATTTTTATTTCCAACCTTTACTTCTTCCATCACCTCATCTGTTGGTCTCTTTATGCAGGAGCGTTAAGCTCTGAGGCCTCACCTGATCTAAAGATTTTCCAGCGACGTCGATGCCGTTGACTTCCAGGATTTCGTCATTAACAGCCAGTAATCCGGTGCTCTCTGCTATCCCGGACCGAACTAAGCGAGAAATGAAGACTCCTGGAACCTGAAAGGACGAGGAAAAGAGCGTTAGAACAGGAAGATGTCCTGCTATGTGATTGGTGCAGAATGACACCGACAGCATCCAATAAAATCTACCGTTAATCACCACAGATAGACAAGTTAGCGCAGCTAGCAAGGAAGCATCTGACCCCATGAGCAAGGCAGCAGCTGGTTTCTGAACCGTTCCGTTTGATCCCAGAAGACTTTTTTAGGCTCTAGTAACATTTATTTTATTATTTTTGAAAGCAGCCTGACAGGAAATGGGGTTGGGGGGCAAAGGTCAACAGGCTGGGACTTGAACCGCGTGGAGTTGAGGCTGATTTATGCTCAGAAACCAGGTCGTCTACGTGTTTGTCTGACCGCTATTGTGGAAAATGACTGGTTAAGATGGACCAGCTAGAAGAGCGAGGTACGCGAGAACGCTGGGACCCTTTTTCCACCTGGATCCCAGCTCTTTTTGGCCCTCATGGCCCTCCGTTGTCCCACACACTTGCCCCCACTTCTTCACCGCCTCGACCAAATCTAGACCCACAGCTAGTTCCTGATTGGCCCTCTGGTGTTGTGGCGTGGAATAACATAGCGCAGACCACGCTTCAGTATTGGGCAGAAATCAAAAATATCTACGACACACTGCTGCAGGAGGAGAACCAGGCCTTTAACCATCGCCATTACATACGTATACGCCTCATTGGAGGCGTGCAGACATGCCTAGAGGGCGGCCATCTTGGATCAGACCACAGTTCAGATAGCTGCTGTCAGAATGAATAGAAGGATAGATCTCAGTTTAATGATATGAAAGATGGGTCAGAGATAATATTATTATAATCTCTCATATGTCACAACTCCATAAAAGACCAAAACATATTTTGAAATTATCATTCAGTCAGATTACACTGATTTATTCACATTAAAATCTATTTAAATTGAATTGAAACTGGATGAGATTTATGCAAAGTTATATATTATCTCCAGCTGTTCTGGGGGCACCCCAAGGCGACACCAGGCCAGCTCAGAGACTTAGTTGATAATTATTTCAATAATCAATTAATCTGATTAATTGCTTCAGTCAGTGTTCGATTCAGGGGGGAGGGAGACAAATGCTGACTGTTAGCCACTCGATCCATGTTTGAAAAACCTGGTTAAATGCTCGATTTTCATTGGGAAAAAGGCTTAATTCACATCCTGTAAAGGATATAACGAGTTCTTCTCAGTGACAGCCAAGAAGGAACCAATCTCATCTCATCAGGAGGAGAAAGAGAAGAAGACGAAAAAAAATAGAAGAAGAAATTTTATTGACTTTAAATCAACACAAAATCAGGTGTATTTATATAAAACTGGAGTCATTTAGCTCCTTAATTAAGGAGATTGTTATGCTGTAGTTCACCATTGGTTCTTCTTAAATGGAGGCTCCACTGGGTTATTTACTGAAGGTTTGTTGGTTAGAGTCCCCAGTAAGAGAAAAGGTCAGAGTTACGTAAAAGAGTCCATCCCCTCTGTCCATTCTATTCTATTACGATGCGGCAGCAGGACCGTTATTCTTGAATTTAGGTTATTAAGCCAACAGGAAGTAAAAGTCTCACCTTCTCCACGCCCTGAGGCGTCACCCGCACGCTCACTCCGTCCCGGATGTAGAAGCCCAGGGGTTTATTAGAACCGTTCTTGTGGAGCCGAACCCGCCGGTGCGTCTCAGGTAAAATATCCACATCGATAATGGAGGAGATCTGTCTGAAGTCCTGCGGCGGGCCGATCATGATGCCCGACTTGTTCTTGGAGAGGGTGGTGCTAGAACCCGCTGGGCGCAGCCCTGGTAAGCCCAGTCCTTTCCTGCGCCTCTGGAGGGAGTTGGTGCAGTAAGCAGTGGACTCGCCCCCTAAACCAGAACACAGACAAGGGAGGAGAGAGTTGGGATTAAATAATCTCAGAAAATCCTGTCCTCCCACTTTAGTTTGTCAGATCAAACTGATTTTAACACTGCATAAATACAATAGAAAACAACTTTTAAATGATCGACATAGAGTTACCTTAAACAGAACCTGCCCTACAACATGAAGCAGGCTAAACGGCCTCAAGCAGCGCCGAACTAAAGACATCTCAGAATAGATGACATTATCCATCAGACCAAAGCCTGGTCTAAAGCAGATAGACACTCTGGTGCACCTCCGTATTTCCTGTTTGGTTCCTAATGGCAGAAACTCTGGCTGTAGTGCCGTCCACAACGCCTGGCACACCTCGGACACTATCCCAGACACCGTGCAGGACGCTGGTTTGTAGCTCTGTGCGACGGTCTGTTGGTTTGCAACCAAAGCCAAAACACACAGCGCCATGGTCAGTCTTTGGGGAACACTCACAGGTGAACTGTGTGTCGTCCGGCGTTGGATGAGGGGTTGTAGACGGCGAACAAGCTCATCAAACCGACACATGGACACCCACAATCCTAGCTAGTTCCTGATTGGCCCTCTGGCGTTGTGGTGTGGAATAACATAGCGCAGACCACGCTTCAATATTGGGCATAAATCAAGCTAACTGCGACAAACTGCTGCGGGAGGATAACCAGGCCTTTAGTGATCCACAAAAGTTTTTATCAGCTGTTTGAGGGAAGATGGAGTCTACAAAGACTGAACCTGTAGGGTTCAGAGATGGTCTACAAATGATTTCTACCTATAAATATCAGTAAATGAATCCAGAAGAACTCCAGTTATCAGCACAACTATAACTCAGCCTTTAGTGTTCATGGTTCAGTTTGAACTAAGGAAAAACAGGAATAATAGGAGATTTCTGAGCCAAACCAGCAGCTAATAAATGATCAAATATCTTCATGACAGGGTCTGCTCAGTGGAGCGGTGGCTTGCACTGCTGCCTTGCAGAAAGAAGGTTACAGGTTTGATTCCCGGCCCGGGGTCTTTTCTTTCTGCATGAAAGAAAAGAAACCAGTTTTAAACATTCAAAGGGTGTTTTTCCTCTCCACTGTCGCTACAAGCATGCTTAGTGTGAGGGATTGCTGAAGAGTCAATGAGTCGATGCAATCAACTGGTTTTCCTTAGATAGAAAACTCTGAATCAATCTGACTGGATGATCTGGTGAACTGGAAAATGACCTGAGATGACATGATATGAATTGGAGCTACAGAAATAAACTGAATAGAATTAAACCTAGCAGCACAGGATGCACCAGGAGAGCATTCTAAAAATTAAATAGATTAATTTAGTTATAAGATTTAATCTGAAACACTTTTAATAAGGAACATAAAGAAAAAACATTACTGAAAAAAACAAAACAAAAAAACAGACGATTTTAGGGACCAATAACAATCAGCAAGGATTAAACACTATGACATCCGTGGGATTATAAGGAAGCTTTCTCTCCAAACATTTAAGAATCGGTCAGATTGTAAAACTGCAGCTCAGGCACAGATTAAGCCCTGACAGATTGAAACAGTCTGTAATCCGTTTGTGTTGGTTCCCCGTCTCCTTTGCTATTCTGCTCTGAGGCTAAATTACATTTAAAAGACCCTAAAGCATGCAGATTTTGACCCTGAATCTTTGGTATTGTTGTGGTATAAAATGAACTCATTTCATTGTGATAGAGTCTAACATCACCAAACTTCAGGTGATGCACCTCTGAATCAGAATTTACTGCAAATTTTATCCAGGTTTTACTTGAGGCTTCATCTAGTCATAGAGACAAACTAAATGCATGCCATACATGATGGATACAGCAGCTGGTAGGAGCTGCAGCGGCTCTAAATATCTGCAGCTCTTTCTCAGTCCCTCTCATTGCTGTGGAGAAATTCTGGTCCACTTTTCTTACAGCAGCTTTATTTCATGGAGGTTAGCAGCTATTATTTCCCTGAACTGATTTCTTAAAGTCCCACCGCAGTGTTTCAACCTGCTTTTCAGTTGCAGATTTGCTGCTGTGTTTGGGATCATTATCCTGGTAATGACCCAGTTTCATGTGAGACCACCCGCTTGTGCAGATGATCTCATATTTACCTACATATTAACTCTCCGTGTTCAATATTATGTAGCAGCGCCGGCATTAGTTGTGATGAATTGTTTGGTTTACTGTCAAAAGCTAAAAGCAGCTCTACTCCCAGTCTTGAGGCTATTAAGAGATGTAACCATGGTTATTGATAAAAGAAGAATCTTACTTCTCATGACCTGAACCTTTATCCGCTCCTCATTAGTGCTTGACTGTAACAGCGTGAACTCTGATGCTGCGTTCACAACAGAAACACTAAGCATAAAAAAATTAAAGAAAATGGGACGCTGGATTAAACTGCAATTGAGTTGTTTTGAAGATTCAACGCTCTGGATGGTCATCTGCTCTGTTCTGTAGCTTCCAGCTAGAGAGCAGTCTGGCTTTATTTACTTTATGAGTTGGAAAAATTGTTTCAACATCTTTAAGCAAAAAAAATCCACCTCCAAACATCCTCTGTTCATCAGTTCATCAGGATTATGATCCCAATAAAATATGCAGTTCTTGTTCTGAGTGCCAGACCTCCAGCATACACTGAAAAAAAAATGCATCCGCTTTTGGTATTTACTTAATAATATTTAGTTACTTTAACACAACTGGAAGAGTAGCAACAATCTTTGAGTCAGTTAATAATTAGAACCATTTTTAACATTTAACCCTTAGTTTCCCTCGTCCAAATTTCAAAGCAAGAAAACCTCTTCTCTTTGTAACTTTGTATCGTCCACCAGGTCCTTACTCTGAATTTTTAGATTAGTTTTCAGAGTTCCTTTCTGATTAGGTATTGAATACTGACAGGGTCATCATAGTGGGAGATTTTAACATCCATGCTGACATTGAAGGCGTTAGCTTAAGAGCAGCCTTTAATGCTATCTTAGATGCTGCTGGCTTTGTTCAAAATGTGAATTGTCCCACACATTCTCATCTTCATACTTTGGATCTTGTGCTGACATATACAATCTTGGTATAATCCCTGCTCTAAGTGGGTCGGTCTTTCAGCTGTTTTAGAGTCTCCATACTCCAGTTAATGATCAATGAATTACTGAATTAGTTGATGATTATTTCAATAATCATTTTGTTGTGCCCTTCTGTTCCAAAAAATACCAACATTTCCAAAAAAGGCCGTTGGTGGTAACAGGTGGTTTTTGGCTTTGTACGCACTTCCGGCTTGGCTCATTTATTGTAAAAGCAAAGACCAAATAATTACTAAAGATGTCTTTCAACTTAGTAGAAATGAAAAATAATGTTAATTTAACTTTTGAAGCTCTAAAAAAGTGGTACAATAAAAAAAAAAAAAAAAAAAAACCTTTCTTCCACACCAGACATTACCAACCAATCCACCAGCACCAGCTGTGTTCTTAATTACTCCAATTAGAGGAAGGGTCTAACAATTAACATGGTCATCTAAACAATTCCAAATAGAAATAATACATTACACATTTTGGTTCTAAATTAACTTAAATATATTCTACCTACCAAAAGAAGAAAAGTAAATTGGTAGAAATAGCTAATTACAAAAATTTTGCATAAATGGCCACAACACAATCTGATTAATCCGATTAAATGTTTCAGGCCGAGTGGAAACCAATTTCTGCCGTCACTACAAGCTCATCCTAGATGAGGGAATCCAGAAGTATTTAGCTGGTTTTCCTTAGACATTTTGATCTAATCTGACTGGATGATCTGATTGAATTATTTATGGAAAGTGAGATGTGTTATGAAATAGCTCTATAGAGTATAAATAAACTAAACTGAATGAAAAGCAGCTCATCTGCTGGAAACATCCTTGATATTCTGCATTCCTGTGAGAGGAACCTTCCTTTCTTCCAAAGCCTGGATGTGTTTGTGGTTTTTAGTCATTAGAGAGCAGACATAATAGAAAAACATCCCTTTTCATGGACATAAAAAAACAAATAATCCAGATAACATTGAGGCCTTTATTCAGGCTTTTTTTAAGACTAGACTATTTTCTGTCAGGAGGAGGAGAGGCAAAGGCCAAAGGAGCAGACTGTGATCCAGGCTCAGGCTCCCAGAGGCTCCTCCTAAGGCCGGGCATGCACTGTATGATACTTTCGATCGTTACGCAGTTGCAGCTCAAACTGTATGATGAAACCACAGGGTTTAAAGTTCACAGCTCACCATGTTTTTTTCTTCCACTGTATGGCCCAATGCTCTGATGTGATCTACCTGTTCACATTGTACGTCCAAAAACCACACGGACTAAGCACCAAGAGATGACACTGGTGGGAATCGTCAATCTGGAAGAAGGAGAAGAACTCCCTTGTTTGCACATGTTGGTAGTCGACGTTCTGGTGAATCGCACCCGTAGAGCAGCAGACATTCAATATGGTCCTTCCCAGTTAAAAGCCAGCCGAATGGCAGTAAAATCCCCTCCAACTTCCAGCCACTGCGATTCTCCTGGGCGTGCATATTTTTTTACTCTGACTCCACTCTTACACTGAATTACAGGGTCTGACCAGGAGATGGCGCTTCTCTTTAGATCTTAATGTCCCCAAATAATGACAGAAAGAATATTTTAGTACAAAGATTGATGTTTAAAAAGGAATAGTATGGGAACAGCCAAGGACCAGCCAAGGGCCAGCCAAGAACCAGTCAAGGACCATCCAAGGACCAACCAAGGGCCACCCAAGGACCATCCAAAGACCAGCCAAGAACCAGCCAAGGACCATCCAAAGACCAGCCAAGGAGCAGCCAAGGAGTAGCCAAGGGCCAGCCAAGGGCCAGCCAAGGACCATCCGAAGACCAGCCAAGAACCAGCCAAGGACCATCCAAAGACCAGCCAAGGAGCAGCCAAGAACCAGCCAAGGACCATCCAAAGACCAGCCAAGGACCATCCAAGGGCCAGCCAAGAACCAGCCAAGGACCATCAGAGGACCA